ACTACTGCCGATGATGTTCATAATGTCCCTCAAACAGAGTTGAGAGGTTTTAAGTAACCATCTTCAAAATATAAACTTGTACAGATGCAAATTATCCAAGTTGTTTTCTATTAGTACTAATTTTCATTATGTCTATTAATTATTATTTACACTTAAATATAAAGAAAACCTTGAGTTGCACATGCAGATACACACAAGAATTTTGTGCAAAAAAGGAAAGGTTGATTTGTATATTGCTTTAACTGACTTGCCATGTAATATTTAATAAATCAGGTTCTTCTTTAAGGTATATATCAACACCTTTGTCATGGCATTGTGAGACATGAAGACAAGTCCTTTCTAATGAAGTCTTCTTTAATCCATAAAAAAGAAAAAAAAGGGTGTTTTGTCTTCTATTTACCATGTATGTATTATAATCATTTATTATAATTAAACAAAAATTGATTATTGTGACTTCAGAGTAAACAGGGCAAAGAAATTACTGTAATATTGTATAGAATTACATGCTGCACTGTGGCCTGTGTTGGGTAAATGGAGCTATTTGCTAATTTGAATCATGTTTAGTTAATGTGAGAGGCATACAAAATGAGCAGGGCTGTGGATCCCCAGGACTGGAGTTGTGAGCAACCGCTGTAACTCCACCCCCATGCATTTCATTTCATAAAAGTTTGTCAGCAGCATTCATACACATACGTCTACGTGTGAGAGCTAGTAATTTCAGTGCACAGTAAGTATTTGTTATGAACTGTTTGTCTAATTGTGCATTATAGTTTACACTTCTGTTTATTTATGCCTTTATCTGATAAGATTTTACTTTACTCTATACCCTTAAATATCTTATTTTATAATATAAAATATACTTATAAATTATATTAACTAAATATCAATGATGTCAACATCCATAATACTGAAAAGTCTTCTCATAGTTAAGACAGGTGTCTAATCAATATGTGATCTTAATAGACAGAACTTGAATTGTTAAAACTTTCTCTCTTTTTAATGATTGTAGAGTGCAGCATTTGATTTGTGAGCACGACACAACTGCTGGGAGCAGCTCTAGTCGAAGACAGTGCCTGGATATGAAACCTTCGGATGACATACATCTCTGTCGCTGTAAGTTACTGGAACCTAAATAATTATTTATTCTTTATTGTACTTAACTCTATACCCTTAAATATCTTATTTTATAATATAAAATATACTTATAAATTATATTAATAATTAAATATCAATGATGTCAACATCCATAATACTGAAAAGTCTTCTCATAGTTAAGACAGGTGTCTAATCAATATGTGATCTTAATAGACAGAACTTGAATTGTTAAAACTTTCTCTCTTTTTAATGATTGTAGAGTGCAGCATTTGATTTGTGAGCACGACACAACTGCTGGGAGCAGCTCTAGTCGAAGACAGTGCCTGGATATGAAACCTTCGGATGACATACATCTCTGTCGCTGTAAGTTACTGGAACCTAAATAATTATTTATTCTTTATTGTAAAAACTGTTGTAGGGTCTCATGCCCCCCATTACTTATTTTCTCAATCGATGTTACACAACTCAAAACAATTAAGGCAATCAGAATACATTGACATTAACTGAAAATGTCATTCTAAAAATAACATTATTTAATAATGCAAGATTTAAAATAATTAAAAAAATAATCTGGATTTCAGTTTAAAGTTCCTGGATTCCTGACACACGGACCACTATCATCATGAGTTCTGGAGAGAATCTGTCTTTTATGTCTTGGAATTCAAATGGAATCAAAACTAAAATAAGCAGAGTGAGGAGCAAAATAGAGAAATACCACGTTGTTTTCCTTCAAGACACACATTCAAATGAGGTTTTAGAGAATCTGGAAGATTGGAAATCAATCTACACCACACAGATATCACCAAACAGAGAAGTGGCTATTTTGATAAGAAAAGATATATTTGATGAATCATGCTACACAGTAGAAAGGGATAATAATGGCTGCTATATTGTAGTTAAGTGTACCCTAAAAGGACAACTATTCACACTTGTTAGTCTATACAATCCTCCAGCTAATACTAGACCACTAATAAAACTCATTAATGTAATTGAGAAAAATGCAGATGGCATCTTACTGATTGGAGGAGATTTTAACACTACTCTGAATCCATATCTAGACAGAAATTCTGAAACAAAAAACAAATACCACTTATCTTTGAAACCAGTTGTGGAGGTATTTATGACATCATTCCATCTTGTAGATGTATGGAGAAGATTTCACCCAATTGAATGTGAGTTTTCTTACAAATCAAGTAATGATCCTGTCAAAGCTGTCAAGTCAAGACTGGATTATCTTTTCGTTCCAGAGGAGTCAATGCAGTATATTAAAACCTGTGAGATTTCTAATGAAGAATGCTGTTCTGACCATAAGCCAGTTCTCTTTGAAATATGGATGACCAAAGAAGAAAGCAAGAAACCAAAAAGAAATATCACTGAAGAGGAGAACAAAGTATTATCCTCTGATTACCCAGTTACTGATACATGGTTGAGCTACAAACCTATATACCGGACAAAACGTGATTTGACTAAAAATCCCCACACACCTCCGATTAAGGAAAAAGAGATTGTAAATGCAATTGAGTCCTTGGCAGTGAACCAAAAACAAGTTGATCGTCCAGATAACATACCACTCTCATTCTATGTGAATAACTTATATAATCTGATTCCAGTTTTGTGTGCTTTTTGTAACAATATACTTCAGCAATCAGTGAACATCCCAGAGTCCTTTAATGAGGCTATTGAACTATCTGAGACTCATTACAGATTTAATGTTGACTATCTGATCTTAGCAACCATCATGGCCAGGAGGCTTTATGACCACTTGGAGTCCCATTCAGTGGAATACTCCGATGACAGAAAGAAGAACAATAAAGCAGTATTATTTGCCTTCAAAGAGCAACTTATAAAGGTCAGCTGGTCTGTCTTAAGGAAATTTCTGGCAAAAGAAATGGATGAAGTCAAGACAAACCCACCTATCCCTGATACATACCTGATAGATATTTTCTACAGGGTCCTGAAAAACAGCCCCGGAGGTAAATACAAATTACTGCGTTGGGGTTGCCCTCTGACTCCAGTGCTCAAGACGCTGTGTCTTAAAGGTATTGCTAATGAAATGATTGAAATGGTCAAAGACCAAACATCAAAAATATTTATTTCTAGAGAAAATGTTGTTGCTAGATTCTCTCTTGATTTTGATAAAGAATTATTGAAGAACTTGAAAGAAAACTATATATTTGTGGAATGTAAACTTGTAGATGATGTAAGGCCGTTCTGATATCCCCATGAAGCCGAAGTTCAGGAGCTGTCACAAAACAGATGCCCCGCAATAAAACAATAAACTTTCTAATCTGAGGGGAAGATCTCAAAGAAAACCATTTGCTCAACTGTCCCATCACCCATCCTTAATCCCCCCTCACCCTCCTAGGTATAGCCCACACACATGAGTGTGTCATAGAGTGTCTTTACTTACATACCGCATTTATTATATTTCAAGAATTCATGATTGTAATTCTTTCATGTTTGGTATCATTTTAAATGTCTCAGTGCGATTTGTAAAATGTTCTCAATTTCACAGCAGCCACATATATTATTTTTACAACTAATTTAAATATTTCTTTGTTCTGGCCTGGATATATAAGTGAAGTGGCAAAACAGTAATTTGGGATTCTGTAACCAGAAAACAACCACACAGCATGTGTGAGTCTCTGGAGCTCTGCACGCTCTCTCTCTCTCTCTCTCTTAGATTTATCTTTGAGCAACTGATGTTATGTATTCATTAATTATGAATTGTATTCTTATTGTATTCTTACTGTTTAATTATGTAATTGGCATGATACATTCTAACCTGACAAATAAAATGTTATATTTGATTTATTCTGATCTCTTCTGAAATCATTATGATTAGTAGATTAAGTGGAGTTTGGTATTACCACAAATCTGCATCCATAGATAAAACTGAAGGCTCATGTGGGACCTAGATCGCAGATTTAAAGGGGTCATATGATGTTGCTAAAAATAACATTATTTTGTGTATTTGGTGTAATGAAATGTGTTTATGCGGTTTAAAGTTAAGATAAACATAGTTTGGTTCTACACCAGAAACGAACTAGACAGTCATGACTTGTTCCCGGACACGAACACATATAACTATTTTCACTGTAAATAGCAACTGGCAGGGGTGTCCAAAGTCCGGCCGCGGCCCAAATACGTCCCGTGCATGAATTTCAAACGGCAGCACTAAACTTTAGGCCAGACGCATCAGTAAAACGTGAGTGACAACAATTTGATAACTCATATGCGCTGTCATTTCTTTAGCGCAGCGGAAGAGCGCTACTCATTATAGCTCTGCCTAAAGACAGCGCAGTGCGAGCTTAGAACAAATGCATTTACTCGCAGGTCTCGATCACAGAGTCTCGATCAGGCGACCACTGAACTAGTGATGTTCGGTTCTTGAACGAATCGTTCTTTTGAGCCGGTTCTCAGGAAGTAACCGGTCGAGCCGATTTAACGTCGTTTTTCTTGTAAAAAGAGTTTTTTCTCGAAATTTAATGAGTTTAATCTCAACATTTTATCTCGACTTTTTTTCTTGAAATTTAACGAGTTTTTTCTCGAAATTTTACGACTTTAATCTCGAGATGGTTTTATTTTTTTATTATTGGTTGGCCGTAATCCTCTTTCGTACACTGCAAATAATTTTGTTATCAATTTCTTTATTTTTGAGCCTTAAGAAGTTTATTCTTTTATTTTTTAATTACAAAATAATTAGTTTTACTCTCAAACACAGAATGTTTGAATAATAAAGACAAAAATAATTCCATATATCTTGAGATAAATCAAGAGCTTTTGGACAAAATCAGACCGACTATTGCGCAACAGCCCAGTAGGCGGCGGCATGCATTCGGTTTGCAGCCAACAAACCAAAGAAGAAGAACAACACACGGTTCCGTTCAAAGTTGTGCAGCGCATCTTACATCTACTCAACGCACTTCAACAGCGAGCTCGGATTCAGGTTATTAATTGGTTAAATATATTTTCATCGACAAAACGTGGCAAACAAGCAGGAGTAACTCCAGATGAAACTACGGATCGTTTCTGTCTAGTACATCTTTTTGCAATTCAAACATACTGTTATAACAATGGAGTTTATTAAAGAGGAAAGTGAAGACATGAGTTATTCAGAGCCATGCAGAGTGAAAGATGAAGATACTGAGGAACTGAGAGGTTTGTGTGTGATCATTCTTCAATCATTCATTACTGATTAAGGCACAGAGTTTCGGCAGCTTCAGGATATTTACACACACAGTCACGGGAGATGTGAAATAAATGGGTTTAAGCAAAACAAAACAAAAAACAATTTCATCTGGAAGAGGTGGTTTTAGAGCGTTTTCTCATCTGCAAGACCTCTAGGAGACGTTTCAGATGTTAAATAGATATTTATAAAGTGTCTTGTGATATAGGATGCATGTAAGACTTTTTTGATTTCTTCTTCAACAGATGAATTTCTCTTTAACAGATGTTTTGAGGACGTACCTGAACATTACCCTGCTGAAAAAACAATATCACAGAAATTCTAATGATTTACACATACCATTACAAACTATCAACTATTAAAACCATTAAAAAATGGTTTCCTGTAGTGTATTTGGGGACATATTACATTAGGATTTATTGGTTTTAACAAGCCACCAATAGAAGGCGACCAATTGATGTTTGTAGACGTCTCTGTCAACTGCCAGTGCGAATACAACCAGGAAAACGGCCAGTTCCTATAACTATGTTTCTAGAACTATGTGTTGTGAAAGCTCCTATGGTCTCACGAAACCAAACTGGATGTTTTGGCCATATTTGCCATGCACAGTTATGCACAGTTTCGGCATAGTGCCACCTACTGGTCTGGAGATATGAAAATGGCTATTTTTGCTTATAACTTCTCAATGGTTTGGCCAAAAATCACAAAACGTTTTTTCCCCCCTAACATTCGGTGAGGCATGCTGAGTCAAACCATACCCAATTTTCCCATGTCAGCCATTTTGGGCGTCAGCCATTTTAATTTATTTTTTCATAAAATGCTATATTTTACAAACACATTGGCGTATCGTTACAAAATTCAGTATGTGTCTCAAAATGTTTTGGGCCAAAATTTATAATGACATTTCCAAAAATGCTAATAAATAATGAGTGTATTAACCTATTGTAATGAAACTGGTCTCAATATATTCTTTGGGTCATGCCGACAACATAGATAACAATTTTGCCATAGTCAGCCGAACTTTCTTTTTGCCAATTTGATTTTCTGAAAAAAACATGCTTTTTTTTTTAACTCCTCCTAGATCGTTCGTCCAATTTTCACCAAATTTGACCCAGAACATCTTCAGACCATGCTGGCAAAAAGTTATGGATTTGGTGTCAATATATAAAATGGTTATCGTTTAACACATCAATGAATTAGCTGGAATGATACCAAAATGACTGTATTTCTGCAAAGCTTTGAGATATTGACACCAAACTTTGTGTGTGCCATGTTCACCTCACATTGAGTTTTCACCAAGAGTGCCACCTTTTGGTCAAAAGTGATAACCCATTAAATCATATTAGTAGTGCTTGTATTTATGATTTTTCACATTTGTTTTTGACTAAAATCATCTTAAAATGGCATCAATAACTCATTGCTGTAGTTGGTGTGATGTTTGCTGGCTTGTTGCTTTTGTACTGCTTGGCCCTGAAAATTGCTGCTTGCTGCTATATTTTTACTTGATTTATTCATCTTAACAAGCTGCAGTTCTACAGAGTACATATTACATCATCATGAACACAGATAATCAGATTTACAAAAATACATCCTTGCATTAACAGACAAGACCCTGCAATCACTCAAAAGGGATTCACCTCTAGTTTCAGAAATGCATTCAGTAAATTATGATCTTTTATATAAACACAAATACAGACATTGGCAATAAGAATACAGTTCACAAAGAAGTAAGAACATGTTGATACAAGGACCGACACACAAGAATTCCCTTTCTTGGAATAAATTTTGACTGTTTTGTTCTCACTTTAGATTTGATGAAAGTGAAGGAAGAAAACAACCTGAATGACTTTGACGAGAAGCACCATTACTATCAGAATTCCTCTGATTTCAGTCCAGCAAAAAAAACATTTAGTTGCTCACAGAGCGACGAGCATTTGAGCCAAGACGAGACTAAACGAAAGCAAGCCAAACGTTCATTAACCTGCCCTGACTGTGGAAAGAGTTTCAGACAAAAATACTTCCTGACGCTGCACGTAAGAGTCCACACCGGAGAGAAGCCGTTCACGTGTGTGGAGTGTGGAAGGAGTTTCCCACGTAAAGACAGGCTTAAAACACACATGAGAATCCACACCGGAGAGAAGCCCTTCAAGTGTCCTCAGTGCGGGAAGAGATTCAGAGAGAAGAAAAACCTTCAGATTCACATAAGAGTTCACACCGGAGAGAACCCCTTCACTTGCCTTCAGTGTGGGAAGAGTTTCAAGCAAAAATCAAACCTGAACACTCATATGTGGAAACACACTGGAGAAACGCCTTTCACGTGTCATCACTGCGGAAAGAGCTTCACATGCAAGGGGAACCTTAAAATTCACATGCAGATTCACACCAGAGAGAAGCCGTTCAAAAAAAAAGAGCTCACGTGTGCTCCGAGTGCGGCAAAGCCTTCACTAGAGCCTTGCTAAAATGCACCAAAGCATCTGAAAAATGCATCTGAAAATGCACCAAAGAATCCATACTGGAGAAAAACCCTACAAGTGCTCATCGTGTGTAAAGAGCTTCGCGGAGTCTGGAAACCTGAAAAAACACGAGCGAGTTCACACCGGATAAAAGACGTATCACTGCGCTTCATGCAGGAGGAGATTCTGTTCATTAAGAAATCTACAGACTCGCTCACTGGCCAAAGAAATGCACACCATGTAAATGGTACAAAAGGCAAAGATAGAATTGTTCGCAAACGACAGATTGAGTGGCAATAACAAAGTAAACAGAGTATTGGTTCATAAACACATAGGGTATAATGAT